ATAACATTTATCTTGGGAAATAAGCACTGAACAACTTTCTCTAAAATGCAAGGAGGATATCAAACACACGCCTTACAACTAGTGTTATAAATCCTATCTCAGGTTTTGGTCCTGACGGCTAACTGCAAAACCCCTTGCCATAAATCAAGTGAGAATGGAATTTTAACAATTCATGTAAAATACTAAGCTGGCAATTTTGAGTATAAGGCCAGTCACATTTGATTATGAATTGTGATTTCTCTACACTACAATTGGATGGTCAAATGTTATGTTTATGTTTTCAAGACAGATGCAAGAAAGACTTCTGTTAATTACTAAATTTCACAATTCCATCTTATTTTTGCTTCTTTTCCTGAGTAAAAAATCAAATATGTGACAGAGTATACACAATCAAATCAGGTCTCTTATTTACTTTGAAAAGTCTATAAACTCACAGAAAGTATAATTTTCTATATTTTTTGGCTAAAGTTTATAGTCAGATCATCCTGTTAAATTCCAGGTTGCACTCTTCCAGGCAACGTTTGCCTGTCTACACTTCTGGCCGCCTTGTCTGTCTGCAAAACAAACAAACATGGAAGATATCGCATCATTTTGAGCTGGGTCTTAAGGCTTAGTTCAGAATTAGTTGAGCAATATCCGCAGGGATATTTTTGGGTCTTTCCATTGGAGATTGAATGAATTCCTTTCATTATCCCATGATATTGTGAGTGAAAGCAGTGATGGTAATAAAATGTACTATTATGTCCCCGCCATATTCCCAACAAAATGTTCAACATTTTACATGATATCTTGTTTAATTCTCACAAAAACCTCTATGAACTAAGCATGATTTTCTTGAAAAGACTTATTCAACCTACACTACCATTTAGTTAAACTAGAATACCAAACTTCTGACTGTTGTGCTAAGACTCTTAGCTACATACAGTAGATCTTATATGCACGGGTCCTCTGTACTAACTCTTTTACTATTTACCCAAATATTTTCTATTAGTTGCAATCAGCTGTTAAACATTGCTTCCAGTATTAGAGTAACTGGCCTGGACAGAATTTCTTACTATAAGGAAAAAATTTTTTCTGAAGCTCCATCTTAAGACTTCAAGGATTCTGAGATAAGAGGAAGAGGTAAAGAATTAGTCATGACCTTATAAAACCTTTAATCTGAGGCTTCTCTGCCAGGGTCTTACATCATTTACAATCCATTGTTTTTCTGTGTATAACAAGTAGGAGAGGATAAAGAGGAAAGAAGTACTCAGGCAAAGCCAGAAAGTAATTGCTAAATAACCAATTTATAAAATAGGGGAAAGGTATAAGATTAGAGGCTTTTCTCAAACATGCTAGGCCATGCACTTGCAGTGTTCAGCATCAATAGGATGATTTATTTACCATTTCCTTTGAAACTAGCCTCGAAGAAACATGTCTAGACACATTTAACAGCCTTCTTTTTTATTTTAAATATATGAAGCTTGCTTTTCTCTCTTATTCTGGCCAAATGGAGCTGCTTACTAAGTGAACCACCTACGCTTTGGATTCTTATTACCAGGGATTTTTGCTAAAACATCATCTTGCTATTTTATTGATTTTATGTAAGTGCAGAGTCAGAAAGGATATGTATTTGGGGCCATCTTGTGACAGATTTGGAAAATTCTCAGAGACAGAACTCTGGGATTAGAGTTTTTGGTTTCCATTACTAAATCATTACTGTTCAACAAATATCTTTTGCAAAAGTTTAGCATATGGTAATGGCTAATTTTTACTAATGAAAGGAGAGTTACCAGTATCGCGAAATAGTCATACACATATTGACTTGTTTCTTTGTGCCAGCCACTGTCAAAAACCACCTACAACATTATATCATTTAACATTCGTGCCCTGGCTGGTGTGGCTTAGTGGACTGAACGCCAGTCTGTGAACCAGGAGGTCCCCGGTTCCATTCCTGGTCAGGGCCCATGGCTGGGTTGTGGTCCACGTCCCCAGGCGGGGGCATGTGAGAGGCAACAGATCTATGTATCTCTTGCACATGGATGCTTCTCTCCTTCTCTTTCACCCTCCCTTCCCCTCTCTCTAAAATATATAAATAAAATCTTTAAAAAAATTTCATAATGATCCTATGAAGTGCATAACATCCTATCTCCATTTTGCAGATGAAGCAAATGAGGTTAATAGAGAATAAGAATTTGTCTAAGTTCATGGTGAGAGTGAGATCTTTGAAAACCTCAAAATATTCTGGTTAAAAATATGGAAGGGGAAAGTCAAGGAACATATAGCAGGAACTCACGGACAAAACCAAAGGGGAAGAGCTGAGGGAGGGAGGGGGGAGGGGGCAAGGGAAAGAGGCGGGGGGTTGGCAGAGACAAATGTATTTGAAAAAATAAAAAAAAATTTAAAAATGAAAAAAATACAGATATGTCCTATATCTTTAGGTAAAAGTTTTTTATATCCATCAAATCTATTTCATTGATTGCTGTTTACGTCATCAAGCACACATTTTTTTTTTTTTTTTTCCAAATTTAGCCTGTCTGGGTCTAGAGGTGGCATTTTAATGTTTCCTGTCCTTATTAGATTTTGCTTGTTTCGTCTTGCTTTATCAATCTTTCTACTTTGCTGTATGATCTCACAGTTTAACTTAATTGTGAATTATGATATTGGACATTTAATCATATTTTTGTATTATTTAACCCTTTTAGAGCTTGAATTATATTTCGCTTGATGCTATCCTTCTTATTTTTTTTGCATTTTCCTGATAAAATGTCCATACTTTTATTTTTATTTTTTGTATGATTCTTTTTAAGGTATTCTTTTTATATACAAAATAAAGGTGAGTTTATATATATTTTAACACATTATAAACATTTAATCATATTCACTTGTTCTTGCTCTGTTTTTTAATAATGTCTCCTTTTTGCCTTTCCTTTTGAAACTTTTCATAGGCACTTCTAAAATAAATTTTGCTGGGTCTATTAATAAAAAAATAAAAAAATAAAAATAAAAATATGAAAAAGTTGTACTATATGAAAGCGCAAAATTACATGAAAACATTAAGAACTGAATCAACATAACGTCTCTTTAGTACATTTTTAAGCTTCTAATTTCATCTTATTATCATATGTTGGATTAGAGGCTCTGTTTTTATAAAAAGAACTCACAAAAAAACAGAATATAAATATAAAAAATATGGAAGAAAGCCATAAGAATTGATATTATGAATAAATTTAATAGTGTAGGAATTAAAAAACAATATATTTGTCACTCATATCTCTGTCACTTATTCTCTTGACCTTTAACTATGTTGTGTCAAATGAGGATTTGTGTGTTTGTGTGTAAAAACAGAGGAGTGGATATTTTTTAGCTAAAGTCAATACTAAATACTCTTGGATTCCATTTTCTGTGCACTCAAAATACCATTAAGTCATGTGTCTTATTCCTTCATGGATCTCAGGCGATGTCTGCAAAAGTACAGTCATTTTTTTTTCATTGTATTTTCTATCTCGACAATGGCAGGAGAATGGCATTCCACTGTCCAGACCCCCCTTCAATTAAGAACTTGCTGGAGCCGCCTTGACCAATGTCACACCCCTCCTGAGGCAGCCTGCATCCAGCAGCCTAGTGAGAGTACAAAGGTGGACGCTAGGTAGGACAACAATATTTGCTCTGGGGCTTGTCCCGCTGGGTTCTCTAAGCCTGTCGTGGGGCTTGCATAAGCAATTCAGCTGTTCACCTCTACCCAATCCTGCTCCCTCTCCCTTCTTTTCATAGGTTTGGATCCTTAATAAATGTCTTGAACTCCAAAATCATCCCACAATCTACTTTCTGGGTTTTTATTTTTACTTGTGGCAAAAAGCACATGACCTAAAATTTACCACTTCAATCCTGTTGAAAACAGTAAAGTAGCATTAACTATATGCATGTTGTACAACTTCTCTACAGTCTTTTTCATCAGATCTGCTTTTCGAGAAGCCAATCTGTGACAACACTTTCTTCAATGATCTAAGTTCTTTTCAGATGTTTTGAAGTGCTGCTTTCCTTCTTGGTAACACCCCAGCCGGGCTTGCAATATGAAATTCTCTTGGTGACAGAAGACAGCAAACACATAAAGCAGAGTATTTGCAATGATCACTTCCCTTTTCATGGGATTTCTTAATATTTACCACTCCACTTGACAATTTGTTTTTTTTTCCCCCTTGCCCTTACGAAAAGTAAGTAGGAATTAAAGGCTTTCTCCTGAGAAGACAACTAAAGTATTTTTTAAGCAGACAACTAAAAGTATTCTTTATTAGGAATGAGGCCAAAAGTAATGTGGCAAGTCTCTAAGAAAGTTTTTTACTTAAAGCTTTCCCGAAGTCCTCCTTAGCATCATGTTTAGAGTTAATTGCATTTCCTCTAAATTGATGGCTTATCACAGCACCTCCATCTACAGCATGGGGAGTTTGGGCTACTGGTTTTCAATTCTATGGTGGCTGAACACGTTTTGCTACTCTTTCCAGTGAAAGGTGAAATCTAATTCCCCTTGTCTTAAATCTGAGTTGATATTGATGACTTGCCTAACAAATAGAATGTAGCGCCAATGATGTGGCTTGATTTTCAAGATAAATCAGATGGACTTGCAGCTTCACCTTGATCTGTAGGACCACTCTTGCTCCCTGGGAGCCTCTAAGCAGACCAGTGTTTTCCTGGGGACCACAATCTCCAGGGGCTTTAAAATCCCTACAAGCAATTACTAACAAACAACAAATTAAGAATAAAGGAACTTTTGTTGTGCTTTTTCTGAGAAATTAATATTCTTTTTTGTTTACTGTTTTGTTTAACATTTTCAGTTACTAAAAAAGCAAAATTGCTATTGCTGCCCTTTTTTATTTCCATCAAGAAAGAGGCAAATGCATGAAAGAAACCTTTTAAATAGCTGCAAAAAATAGTGCAGTTTCATCAGATTAGCTGATTTGTCTGAGTCTTCCTTATTAGTGAGATGATAAATGAAGAATTTTAATTGAGAAAAATCAACTCACCTCCTCCATTCTATCTGTACAGCCTTCTGCACCCATTGTTGCTGCAGGCGCAAGCAGTGGTCTCTTCATGAATGAGTTTCACACTAAAAAAAGAAAGAGATGAATTCTTCATTTGGTTTAGATACTCCTTTGTCATTGAAACCATTGTCTTTTGGATTCAGTGGTGAACTGAAATGATCCCCGCAGGGTTTTCTTTCACAATTTCCTGGAAGCCATGGGCATCTCACACTGCCAAAGGCCACTGAACCCAGTTGTCACAAAAAAAAGGATTTCCCAGGTTACCTGGATCAGGTTACTAGGGTTAGCCAACAAGCACCTTGAGTTGTTTCAGTCACACTAATACCCAATTCAAATTTAGTTCTTATTTCAGAAACTTTCTCTTGCTTCTCTGATTATCTTTGCAGAATAAAGGTTAGCCATCTCCCCAGATTTTTTTGGAATTTACTTTATCAGATAAATGAAGCCATTGCTATGGAATTCAGAAGTTAGGGTACACAACAGGTAAAACTAAACAGACATCTGTACCATGTTAAGTTCCATAAAGACAGGGATTTTTTTTTTCTTGCTGTTTTGTTCACCACTGAACATCCATCCTTAGACATTCTATTTTTTGCCTAAACCAAAAGAGTAATCACTTTCAAAAGAACTTACATGATTTCTCAGTATTACAGTGTGGCCTATTCTGAATCACTTTTAATTCTTGAACACGTTTGGGAGGGGAGTAGACTCAGTCCTCATCTCTAGCATCAATGCACTGCACTAACACAGGGCACAACGGGAACGGTGGCACAGTAAGGGGAAGGACTCATTTCACTGAAAGGCACAACTCCGCCAGACCCTCTTTAAACTCTACTGTGATGATGGTGAGAACTGTTGACAAGGTCTTAATTTTAGGAAACTGGCTGTTGCAAATAAAAAATAATTTGTGGCCCACCCTTGACATCAATGTCTCTTCTTTTAAAATGATTCTCACTGATTATTTGAATAACATCCAGTTGGAAGACTAATATTTGCAGCTTTTAAAATTAATATTGCGCCCCTACATGGCACTGTTTCTTTTATTTGATTTTTCAGAAACCTCCGTGACACCGCAATGCCCTTTACAGGAGATAAGCTACGAGCTCATCAACAAAAATTACAATCAGAAAGAATTAATAGGAATATGTAACTATTTCACAGGGGTGTCTTATTTTTAAAATAAACCCATTAATGTTAATAGGAGGGAAGAAAGCAAGTACAGAAACCACATGCTTAAAGCACATTTTGTCAAAGAGCACAGTTTCAGGAGCGTCTAAGACCTATCAAGGGTTCCTCAGCACAGAGAGAAAATGATAGTTTTCTGGGACTTCATCAAGAGGATGCTGAGTGAAAATGTATGGGTTACATAGTTAATGTAAATAGCCAATAATTCTCAACTGTGGCTTCCAATGTAATATAACATAAATGGATAAAGTATATATAGTGATACATTGACTTATAAAATTCAGCTAATATTCTGACTGTGAATGTACATGTTATAGAACAAGGTCTGGTTTTTAGCAACCGAGTGCCTATGATCAATTGAAATATTACACTTTCCTCAGCGGTATTAAAGTTCAAATAATTAAAACTCTGATTCCAATCAGGGTTGACATGCTTTAGGCAGAGTAGGCCCAGTAATATTAGAATAAATTATTTTAGAAGCCCATGAAAATATTTTACATTTTTCAAATGATAAAAATGTAAAGCTTTAGAGTGAAGGAAAGTTGTGTGTGTGTGTGTGTGTGTGTGTGCAGAAAAAGATAAAATTAGGCCCACAAAAATCTCCAAATTTTGCCTCAAACAGAAATAAAATTGCAATGGGAGAGCCCCGCAAAAGTAAAAGGATCTAGAGCCCATGGAAGTCAGTGCGCAGCCCTGTCAACATTAAATGAATTCAGAGATATTTTTGTTCAAATACAAAGCATTTTGACTAACCTTGCTTTCTGAGGATTGTAGTTGGACAAAAGAAAAATCTATTAATTGGAAGGGGCCTACCTTCCTGGGTGATACAGACAGCATAAAGCTGCCAAGAAAGCAACGCATCAATGGTCATCCTGAGACTCATACTTACTTTAGGTCCTTTTCATTTTACAGCCTGTTGGCACTGGTACGCTTAGCTGTCTCTGAGGACTTGTTTTGGCTGGAATGCTCCTGAGGCATTTATATAATTGCAACACTAAATGTTTGTGGGCTCTCATTCTTACACTGTGTTACTGGCAATTACACACAATCCATTATGCCACACTGCACTTTGAAACTAACCCTGAGAAAAACAAACATCCTCAGGTCTCTTAACAAATGTTTAGCATGCTTACAATTTAACCTGACTTAGTATAATTACTATTTTGTTCAATGTACATGTCTTATTATGTTCAGGTTGCTATAATAAAAATACCATAGACTGAGTCGCTTAAACAACAGTTTATATATATATATATTTCTCACAGTCCTGGAGACTGGAAGTCAAAGACCAAGGTGCCAGCAGATTCATTGTCTGGTGAGGACCCTCTTCCTAGCTAGAGTTGACATTCTTCTCACTGTGTTCTCAGGTGGCAGAAGGGGTGAGAGCTCTCTGGGGTCTCTGTTACAGGAGTACTAATTCTGCTCAGGAGAGTTCTACCCTTATGACTTAGTCACTCCCTAACAGCCCACCTTCAAAATGCCATCACAATGGGGATTAGATTTTAACATATGAATTTTGGAAGGACATAAACATGCAGTCCATAACAGTACCTAGCTCTCAAGTTGATTGTATAAATGTATATCCCTTTTATAATACTTTATTTTGAAATAACTTTAAACTTATTTTTTACACAAAAAAAGCAAAAAAATTCTAGAATATACTTTACCCAAATTTCCAGTATTTTCTAAGAAAATGGTGATTCTGTTATATAACCAGATTTACAATAATCAAAACTAGGAAACTAATGGTGATACAATGTTATTATGTAATCTACAGGCTTTATGCAATTTATGACAGTTGTCCCAATAATATTTTTTACATAGATGGATAATTGTATAGATAGGTAGATGATAGCTGGAAAGAGAGAGAGAGAGAGACACACACAGAGACAGAGAGACCTATTCCAGGATCCAAATCTAGGATCGTGTGTTTTATTTAGTTGCCAAATGTCTTTTGTCTCCTTTATTCTGGAACAGAATGTCTCCAGTTTGGATCTGTCTGATGTTTCTTCGTGATTAGATTCCTTTGGGGCAGCCACGTTTCAGGGTGATGTTGTGTCCTTTTCATTGCATATAAAAGTATTTATCCCTAGTTCCATATGCACAAATAATAGTTCAAAGGATTTTGCACCTCAGTAAATCTGTCCAAGAGTCTTTATAGTAGTTATAGTCAATAAATACTTTATTTTCATCTGTCATCTTTCCTCCTTTCTAGAGCTCAGTGCAGCAGTAAGCAGCTGCTCGTGGAAAGCATGTGTATATGTATGCATGTATGTGTGTGTTTGGGGTGGGGGAATAGGTGGAATCTATATTAAATAGCTCACTATGAGGCAAAGCAAATGGAGAGCATGTATATCCACATCCTCCTGCTCCGCAAGCACTGAGCCAGCTCAGAAGGGAACTTATTGCATGGAATTTCAGGCTACCTTCTGACTCTTCCTGGAAAAATACAACCCCAAAAATTTGACAGTCGAGCTGTTGATATTACTCCTAGCTCCATTGGCAAGTACATTGTATTGCCCACTTTTTATTAACATTGTCACTATTATCATTATTACTACTATTATTATAGTTTATTTTCCAAGGACTCGGAAAAAAATAAGCAATGGCCAAGGTAGCTAATGACTAGATCTTTACTACAATGCTCTGTTCAAAACATTCAAATTATCAACATATACCAATAACCAGGACATCAAGTGATCTGAGTTGGGGAAGCAGAGCCTGGGGCTGGACAGGGACTGGGCAGAGCTGGGTGGCCAGCCGTGGATCCGACTTCAGCAGGGCAGCCTCTGCCACAGAAATCAGACTCAAAGGTTGGGGCCTTCCTACAGCACATACTCCCCTTCTACTCACCTCAGCAGCCATAGCTGAACCAATGAACAATCGTGAGGACACGGTTTAATTACACTTGTACCTCAGCTTCCACCTCATGTTTACATCTCCTATCTACTATACATCTAACCTAGGGCCATAGCCTATAATGCTTGCTTTGTAGAAACTTCGACAACGGGTTAAGTTGAAGAGGCTTCTGTAGGAACCGTAACTTTCTCTTTCTTTACAGGACGATTCTTACTTCCCATACACCACTGAGTATCTTTTCAACAGCTTTGAAATCTCTTTCCATTCTTCCCTCCATCCTCCTTTCCTCCTTTCTTCTTCCAACCTTCTTTCCTTCTTAAGATATTCTGCATTACAAATAGGATTCATTTTAAGTATAGAAAAGTACAAAAAAGAAAATAAAAATTACCTGTCCTGTCACTATGTAGAGATTATGGCTGTTAAGGTTTTGATACGTTTCATTTCAATCTCATGTGTTGTGTGCATGCTCCAATTTTATGCCCTCACTGTTTCACTTTCTGTTGATGTTGGAATTTCCTAACATCAGTCAGTACTTCTGCTTCATGATTGCCCTGGCAGTAATTTCTATTTCCCCTTCTACTTTCTTCTGTGAAGTATTCCCAAGTGTAACATTGCCTAGTCCACTTCCTGCAAGTTCATCCTTTCAACATCGACCTCACCATGTGGATTCAGATCTCCAGGTCTGCCTTCTCCTGCCTGTGAGCCTTCCTATAGCCCAGTGTACCTTTCCTAAGTAACTTCTTGGCTTTTTACCCTTTAACAACAGGAGCTGAATTTGAACCTCAAGCCTCTCACACAGAGTGAACGTTCAAAAAAAATCCACTGAAGAGCGGATGACTTTCACGGTGATTCTGGCTCAGCAGTCAGGAGTTCCTGTGTCATGGGCCAGCTTCTTCTGGTGGATCCATTCTATGTCGGCATGCCTGATACATGACTCACTAATCTGGACAACGTCGTTTGTTGACACGGGCCTAAAGTCTTTTCTACTTGTGGAATTTCCCAAGGATTTCAGAATCTCCCTTTGAAATCCCTTTCTCCCAGCATTTCCATCAAAGATGACTCAAGAGAAAAAGAATAATAGGTCATTGTTACTCTAAGGATAAAGCATCTATTA